CTGATATGGGTAGTCTGGGCTTGGGGACACCTCAGTGGCCATAGATGGGTATCCTGGGCTTGGGGACACCTCAGTAGGCTGAGATGGCTGGGCCAGGTTTGGGTACTCCCCAGTGACCTGAGATGGGTAGGCTGGACTTGGAGACACCCCAAAGGCTTGAGATGGCTGGGCTAGGCTTGAAGACTCCCCACTGACCACAGATGGCTGGGCTAGCTTTTGGGACCCCCACTTAGCAATTGATTGGTGGCCTTGGTTTGAGGCCACTCCAAAGGTCCTTGATGGGTGTCCTTGGCTTGGGGACCTCCCGCTCACCACAGATGGCTGTGCTGGTCTCGGTGTCACTCTATTAGGCATAGAGGAGTGTGGTAGCCTTGGGGTCACCCCATTAGCCATAGATAGGGGGGCTAGCCTTGGGGACACCCTACTGGATGCTATATGCTGGGATAGGCTTGGGGCCAGCCTACTGGACCCTGATGCCTGGCCTGGCTTTGGGGCTACCCTGCCGGCCAGTGTATCCTGGGACCCACTTGGAGCCAAGCTCACAGCCACAGATGGTGGCTTACATGCTGTGGAGACCACGGTACCTAAAGACAGAGTCCTCCTCAGCTCTGTCTTGACGGTGGCCTGAGACATCTGGATCAGATTCACAGAGCTCTTGTCTAAGGAAAACTGAGGGATCTCAGTCTCTGAGCCCCAGTGAACACGCAAAGTCACGCGGTTAGACACGGAGCTGCGCTGGAAAATGGGCACTTTCTCCGAGGCTGGAGTGGGCTGGCAGGGGAAGCGTAGGGTCACGTACCTAGGGCCAGTTTCAGTCTCTTGTGTATCCTTAAACCTCTGGAGTGTCCTCATGGACTCCGGAGGAAAAAGGGGCTTCTGGGCAAGGTCCCCTTCTAAACTGCCTTCCCATGACTCATCTATCTTACTGACAGCAGGCAGGCTGGCCACGGACACGGCAGAAAGGCTAAAGGAGCTGGAGCTTTGCAGAGAGCTTTCGGAATTGCTCTCCTGGCTTTGGCTTGCAGAGTCTTGGGAGAAGCTCTTAGCCAGGTCACTGTCTCGAGCCTGTGGCAAACCGCCTACCAGCTCACTGAGGACGGATGGCTGGTGGTCTGTGGCCAGCTTCTGGGGGCAGAGCAGGGCAGACACGGAATCCCGCGTTCGATCCCTCCCCTGTCCACGGACAGATGTCTTGGGACGAACGTGCGTCGGTGCATTGCCTGGGGAAGCTTGAAACAGACTGCAAGTCTTGCATGCCTGAGTTTTGGTCACTGTGGTGACCTGGAAGGGACTTGGGGCCTCCTTGTCAACCGCCTCCCTAGTACCCGGGGAGGCCTGTTTGCGATTTGGGGGCTGAGACCTCCTCCGCAGGCTCTCCTTGGAAGCCCTGGATGGCTGCTGGTGGCCCCTGGCCACTGAGGGTTGGTAGAGACCAGGATGCACCCTGCTAACCCCTGAGGACGGACACCAATTTGGGCTCCCGCAGGCAGGGTGAGGCTGGTGAGCATGGGCAGCACTCCCACCGCCCTCGCTGCACGGAAGCCTGCCTGAGGCCTCCCTCCCCTCCCTGGTCGACGGACGAGAGGCCACCCTGCTGACCACATGTGGCTTGTGGGAGCTCGGGGCCATGCCAAAAGTCATGGAGGGTTGGTTTATGCTGGAGCCCACACCACTGGCAATGAGAGGCGGCCACAAACTCAGGGGTGGCTGCGCATGGGACGGCCTGGGCAAACTGGGGCCCTCCCCACTCCCTTCGGGATTCAAATCTGATGCCAGTGCACCAAGCTCCAGGCTCAGGCGTGCATCTTCCTTTTGGAACTTGCAGCTCAAATCCAGATTTGAGGAGATGTCCCTGCTGGGTCCCCTCTCCCAGGGCAGCACGGGACACTGCCCAGTGATCAGGGGGCATTGGTGAATGCTGGTGATTACGCCGCCTATCATGGAGGCTCCCACAGTGACCACGGATAAGCAGGGTGACCCCCCCAACATGGCCCCGTCCCCCCCTTCCTCCAAGGGCGCAGCAGGCTGGCCCATGGTGAAACGCCCCCAGACCCCAACCTGGGGATCCCTGACCTTGCCGGCCCGTGGTCTCATGGGGCCCAGGCAGGGCCCCCACGCAGCCGACGGACTGCCCCTGCAGGCCACCTCCGCCGGGGCCAGCGTCTTAGTCACCCTGCTTCCTGTTGATTTTGAGGTGGCCTTGGGGAGGATGGCTCCAGTTCTCAGGGCCGCCTGATACAAAGACTGGGTCAGGACGGCGCCCAGCTCGCCCTGGCACAGGGCCTGGCTCAGAGCCGTCCGCTCCTCCTCTGTCAAAGCCTTGCTAAGCACCTCCGCCAATTTACCCTGCATGGCTTTGGTGAGTTCCGCCCACAGCTCGCCCCGGGACAGGGCTCGGGACAGGGCCAGGCGCAGCTCACTCCAGGACAGCGTCTTCCCCAGCGCCAGGCTCAGCACACCCTGGGGCAGCGCTTTGGTGACAGCGGCACCCAGGACCTCCTTGGACAGAGCCTGGTTCAGAGCTGCCCGGATTTCTCCCTGGGAGAGGGCTTTGGCCAACAGAATGCGGAGATCTTCCTGGGATGCCAGGACAGTGGCCAGTTCAGCACACAGGGAGGCCAGCGGGGAGCCCACCGTGTCCTCCTGGCTGGGCACCGCCTGGCCGGGCACTGATGGCTGGGCACGTGCAGCCCCACTGTCCCCCCAGGACTCAACATTGCATGCAGAATGTCCGGTGGGTGCCATCAGTGGCACCAGCGTACCCGGAACCTCAGAGGCTGCTGGGCATGGTCCCTGCTGAGTGGTCGTCCCCGGCACCTGACTGTGGGGCTGCGGCTGAGTCCGTCTGTCCTCCAGCTTGGCCCAGGGAGGAGCGCTGAGGGCGCCGAGGTGCTGGCAAGCCTGGCTGGGTGCCTTGGACCTGGTTAGGAGCACCTGGGAATGGGTCTTGCTGCTGAGATCGGCAGCCTGGTGCGCTGGGATGAGGCACTTGGTTACGTCTGTGACCTGCTGCCCCGGGGACTGCGTCTTGGCCAGACAGGTGGACAGATGTGCTTGGGATTGGACCTTCATGGCACCTGCAGCCAGATGTGTCTGGGAATGCACCTTGCTCAGACAGGTGACCAGATGGTCCAGGGATGGGGTCTTGGTCAGCTCGGTGGGCAGATGTCCCTGAGATGAGGCTTTGGTCAGCGGGGAGGCCTGCTGTCTCCGGGACAGGCAGGGTGGATGTCTCTGGGATGAGGCGTTGGTCAGTGGGGCAGCCAGCTGTCCCTGGGGCACGGTGACAGCCATTTCTTCTATAGGCACAAACAGGTGAGGTGGGTCGTCCCCTTCTTCTGCAGCTTTTGTCCAGGACGGAGCCCCAGACGTCCCCACTGCCACACTGGTCTTAAATGCCGTGTCTATTTTCACCTGTCTCTGGGGGCCGGTCTCAATTTTCTCGGCTTCTAAAGGAAGCTTAGCTGGAGCCCTGGGGACCCCAGCTCCCAGATGTGGTTGGGGCAGACACCTGATCTTCCCCTCAGCCACACAGGAGCGGGATGAGGCTTTGACCACCTCCACAGCCAGCTTCCCGTTCACCTCGGCCTTGGCCTTGGGCTGGTTCTCGTGGGTGGAGCACGGGGTGTTGGGAATTCCGGCTGGGACCGCCGCTGGGGGTGGAGCCTTGACGCTTCCCGCTGCTGGAGAGGACAGACACAGGGTCCGGAGGACGGTGGCTACCGAGCGTAACTGGGCGGGGGTCCTGGTTATGATGGCTGCCAGGCGCGTCTGGGCCGAGGGCTTCGTCACCCCGCCTGGACTCGTCTGGGATGAAGTCTTGGACGTGGTGGCTGCCGGACACGTCTGCAGCAGGTTTTTGGCTGGGGCGGCCGCCTGGCGCGTCTGGGGCAGGGTCTTTGCTGTGGAAGGCCCTGGGCATATCTGGGGCGGGCTCTTCATGATGGAAGCCAGAAGGCAAGCCTGAGCTGTGTTCTTGGCCATGATGGTTGCAGGGCGCGTCTGCAGAGGGGTGCCGGTGCCAGAGGCTGCGGGGTGCGCCTGGAGCTTTGTCACCGTGGGCATGGGGCACGCGTGAGGTGCAGTTTTGGTCACTGCGGGCCGCGGAGACGTCGAGGCTGGGGTCTTGGTTGTTGTGACCGTGGGAACCGGGCTAGTCTTGGGTGGAATCTTGGTCACCATGGACGCTGGACACATCTGCGGCAGGGTCATGGAGACCACTGGGTACGTGTGGAGCAGGGTCTTGGCGATCGTGGGCCCTGGGGACACCTGGAAGTGGGCTTTCAGGGTCTCTGCTTCCACAGGGCCCTGGGTTTGGGTGGTGGACGGTCCCATAACTGCTTGGCCACACCTTCCAGACAGCGGCGTCTCTGGGGCCCCAGCTTTGTTGGTCCGGGCAGTGACACGTTTGGCCTTTACTGAGTCACCCTCTATGTGGACGAGGCAGGCGCTTCTGATGGTTCTGGTCAGCAGGCACGGCTGGCATTTTGTGTCCGGATTCACCGGGCAGGGAAATCTGATCGTGACCGTCTGGTGTGGCAGGAAGGCCAACCCAGGGACTCCGGCGGCAGGGGGAGTCTGCATGCAGGGGTCTGGGGCACCCTGAGCTGTGGGGGTCTGCAGGAGCGGGGTCGACTGGGGCCTGCAGAGGACCAGGTTGTCACAGGAAGGGAACTGGGTCTCCTTGTTCACCCTGACAGGCGGGCACAGAAGGCGGTTCTCTTCCAGATGCTGGAAGCGCACCTGCTGTGGGGCGTGGTAAGGGATGTCCCCCTCCTCCGCCGTCGCTTTCTTCACCGACAGCTTGCTGGAGTGAAGGATGTGTCTCGAGCTGAAGCGCCGCCAGGCCTCCTGGATGGCCTTGGCCGCCGTCATCTGGGAAATGAGCTTCTGCCGGAGCTGGTAGCCCCTCCAGCTGGCTTGGATGAGTGTGGCCGCGCGGGAATGCATCATGTCCATCTCGTCCACCAGGATGTTCTTGAAGGCCTGGCTCTCGACCACAGCCCGGAGGCGTGGGATGTGGCGGGGCGCCGGCTTGGCTCGGGCAGGCTGGTGCGAAAGATGCTCCTTGGACTTGGGGCCCTGGTGCTGGGGCGGTGGAGTCGCTTTCTCCATTGTGTCCGGGAGACTAGGGTTGGGCGGGGGCTGGAGGATGCAGTGCCCACTGGGTGACAACTGGTTGGTGAACTGGACCTGGGCGGCCGACTGCATTGCCTTGATTCCCGGGCAGGTCAGCTCCGCCTGTTGGGGGCAGCAGGGGGTGGTCAGGGCACGGCAGGGTGTGGTCAGGGGGTGGCAGGCGGTGGTCAGGGCACGGCAGGTCCTGAACGCTGGCTGGGGTGGACACTGGTCCCCCGGACCCAGATCTTCCTGTTCCTGGCACCTTGAGATCTTCCCCCTCCCTCTCTCAAGTGGCCTTTGCTATCCCTATATCCATTTCTTATCATCCTGTGGTCACTTCATCCTGGCACACAGTGCATGCCACCTGAATGCCCAACCACTTACCTGCTTTTTTGTAATTTATGTATTTATGTATTTATTTATTTTTAGAGACGGGGTTTCACCATGTTGGCCAGGATGATCTCCAGCTCCTGACCTCGCGATCTGCCCGCCTTGGCCTCCCAAAGTGCTGGGATCATAGGCATGAGCCACCATACCCAGCCCTTTTTTTTTTTTTTTGAGAAAGAGTTTCACTCTTGTTGCCCAGGCTGGAGTGCAGTGGTGCAATCTCGGCTCATTGCAACCTCTGCCTCCCAGGTTCAAGCGATTCTCCTGCCTCAGCCTCCCAAGTAGCTGGGGTTACAGGCGCCCACCACCACGCCTGGCTAATTCTTTGTATTTTTAGTAGAGATGGGGTTTCACTATATTGGCCAGGCTGGTCTCGAACTCCTGACCTCAGGTGATCCACCTGGCTCAGCCTCCCAAAGTGCTGGAATGACAGATATGAGACACCGCACCCAGCCTGCTTCTCAAATTTTATCTTGGATGCACCCCGAGTAAAGCACTGATCACAATGTTTTGGAAATGTCCTGTTTGCTTCTCTCACCGTGTGTGTGTGTGTGTGTGTGTGTGTGTGTGTGTGTGTGTGTGTGAAAGAGAGAGAGAGAGAGAAGTGTGCAGGGCTGGGGGACATTATTTGCCTCTCCCCATTGACTGTGAATCCTAGAAGACAGAGTCGTTTCTGTGTCTCCATCTCAGTCATAGGGCTTGGTACTGGGCGGGTAGGCACCTTGACTGATAAACAGTGAGTGGACTGGAAGTTGGATGGACAGTTGGATACAGGGCTAGATACTGAATGGATGTATCAGTGGATGAGTGAATGGTGGATGGGTGGAGAAACGGATGAAGGATTGGACGAAGAGATAAATGAAGCTGACGAATAAAGTGTTGAAGGCAGATTGGCCGTCACGGTGGCTCACGCCTGTCATCCCAAAACTTTGGGAGGCCAAGGTGGGCAGACTGCTTGAAATCAAGAGTTCAAGACCAGCCTGGCCAACATGGTAAAACCCCATCCCTACTAAAAATACAAAAAAGTAGCCAGGCATGGTGGTGCACACCTGTAGTCCCAGCTACTCAGGAGGCTGAGGCAGGAGAATTGCTTGATCCCAGGAGGAGGAGGTTGCAGTGAGCTGAGATCGTGCCACTGCACTCCAGCCTGGGTGACAAAAGTGAGACTCTGTTTCAAAAATAAATAAATAAATAAGGCAGATTAACAGAAAAATGGACACATGGGCGAGTGGACGGATGGATGGATGGATGGATGGATACATACATAGATGAATGGATGGATGGATGGGCAGATAGGTCTATAAATAGGCAAATGGACTGGTGAATAGATAGGTGGAGCCAGGCGTGGTGGCAGCCTAGGCGGGTGGATCACAAGGTCAGGAGTTCAAGACCAGCCTGGCCAAAATGGTGAAACCCCGTCTCTACTAAAAATACAAAACTTGGCCAACTGTAATCGCAGCTACTCAGGAG